AGTATAAATATGCCAAATTAAAGGGAATCTAATTTCCTATTAAATGAGATCAAAATTTTCAAAATCCATCCATTTGTTTTTAATAAATCTTGAGTTCAAAAACAGCTCATTTTGAACTTTAACCTTTGATAATTCTTGTTCATGTTGTCTCCCAAAAAAAAAGGATACCGTTATACCCAGCTCATTGATCTCTATCGATCCCAATATTTTTGTGTTTTAATTTCAGATTTGGAGCCAAACTGCAATTATGCCAAAAATACTGGCCAAGTATATAAGTCCAAATTGTTAAATATATATTACTTTCATTTATTTCTTCAGAGTTGGGGCTTCTTTAATAGGAAAATTCATACGGCTTATGACCAGATTCATACCATGTAAACGCACCATAAAGATAGCCGTAACGTAAAACCTGAACTGCTAAAGGAAACCATAACGCTAAAGAAAATATTTACCTTTTCGGTCTGATTTGTAGTTTTGCCACAAAAAACACCCAAATCCACAGACTTTAAATTGGTTCGGATATTCATTTGCTCTTTTTCCAGTTTATTAGATTTACAATATTGATCAGCATTAAGATGGGGCTCCTTACTTCGTAGAACCGGAGCTTTCAATATCACCTCTTCAGGATCAGGTAGCACAGGTTGCTTTTCATTTATTTGGATTTCTCCAAGATGCAATGTTCCTCTTGGTTGTTCTACACTCAAATTGTACATGGATCGCAAGTTAATAAAAACTTCATCTGGCTGTAGGTTGGATAAATCTAAAGCAGTATTGAAATTACAACCCATTAAAGGATCTGACGAACTCATGTTGTTAAACTCTTTATTCTCATTAACATCTGCAAACCCAGTATTTGGTGTTGCATCTGAAGGAAATATGAAAACATTTCTATCATCTGACGGTGTAAGTGAAACCATTCCCGGCTTGTTTGAAGATTCTATATCACATTCATTAGTTAAAGTATGTGTTACTGATTCATCAGATAAATCCATTCTATCAATATCTTCAAAGAATGTCTGCATTTCTAAAAAAATATGAAAATTTATATTTCAAATACCCATGGCTTTTTTTATCTTACCAGTCGGAAGCAAATCCTTTATAATATTCAAGGAATCCCCTTCCTTGAAAATGTCTAAGGAATCGAATGCTTCGCTACAAGCGAAATCGATATCAAGAGAGTCATTATCATTGTCTGTCATGTTGGCGATAATTTCTTATTAGAGCCTTTAAAACTATACAGTTCTGCGCTACTCCAAATATGTGGTTTGTACTTTAATACTTTATTCTTTTTAATAATTAGTATTTATATTAAATCATACGATATGCAGAAGACAGCAATAGTCGAGAATAAAGGTATCGGTTACTCATGTTGTGGCGATACGAGTACCGGTTACATAATTTCGATACTTTTCATGAGTACTGAGTAGTATCGGGAATTTGATACGTTATGCCAAGTACTGGGTAAGTATCGCGGATACCAAAAATTATCGATGTTTTAAGAACTTTTTTAAGGAAAATAAAATTTAAGATTCATATAAAATATTTGGGTTAGCTGGGTTGGCTTTCCACAACAACGGCTTTTTGGTGTTTTCACAAAACTATCACGAATTTTGCCATGAAATTTGGCGGCGATGTAAGAATCGTATAATTTTACATTGGCTGAATTTCTTTATTCATTCTGAACGTTTGGAATAAACTTTTTTGTTTACTTATTCTTTAGAACGTTCCTGATGATATGTTAACGTATATTTCAAACACATTCCGGCTGTGAAATGTCAGCTCCCTGATAAACAAAAAATTTTCGGGTTAAAGTGTCACCGTTTTTGAAATATTTACATTTTTTCGAATTTAAAAAAAATCGTGCCTCTTCAAGTGTTTTCTTTAACTGCAACTACAAACCGGGCAATACTTAGTAAATTTTTTAACAAAAATACTTCCAGATAGTTGCCTCTCCATACTCAAATGCAATGTAGTTAAAATATATTAAGGAACCATCATAAAATTAGGACTATTTCTGGATTTTTAACTTCGTGATATTTTCTTCCCCCACTTTGACTATCTCGGATGAAAAAAAAAATGTACTGAGCTATAACTTTACATTACATAAAAAAATTGCACATTTCATACCGGTTACTCAATGTCTGGTTAACACTAATCTCCGGTTAAACATAGTTACCGACTTCCTGTTATATGCATGGAGTCGAAGTCGTCGATAACGATGTTTAACCGCAGATAAGTGTTAACCAGACACTGAGTAACCGGCCCTTACTGTTTCGAATAGAAAAAAAAGTTATGGCCGCTTTTGTGGGTAAAGGACTGAGACACGCTAGAATGTATTTAATAGATTTAAATTGAATTTGGTCTTGTTACCGTCAAATGACATGCTAAATAGTACAAAGGTACATTATTGCCTGCTCCTGACATTATTTTGTGTTACTTACCGGAATTAGTGAAAGTGGATTTTGTGAAATTGGACCTTTCGAACATTGTGTTATTAATACTATGACAGAGAACACGCAGTATACGTCGCATGAATATGCGGATATTCACCTAATTTACGGTGAAGCTTGCTGTAATGCCAGAGCTGCTCAAAGACTCTATGCAGAGCGATACCCCAATCGTCGACATCCGGGCCGTGAAGTATTCGCCCGGACCCATAGAGAAATATATGAATGTAAGTGATTTTTACACCTTTCTTGTTTGCTTGTTTGCTAACTATCATTTTTCACTTTTTTAAGGTCGCATACCTGGAAGGCGTGGCGGCGAAACAGGACATCCTGCAACGGTAGATGTTGAAGCTGTGTTAGAGGAAGTGGAACTAGGTCCATCGACTTCAGTGAGAACGATGGAAAGACGGACGGGAATACCAAAAACTACAGTTCACAAAACTTTAAAAGACCATCGATTTCATCCCTACCACATTCAACGTGTTCAGGCTCTACAGTAAAGAAATTACCTGTCGAGGGTTAGATTTTGCCGTGAAATGTTGCGAATTCATGCATCAGACCCCAACTTTTTTAATAAAATAATTTGGAGCGATGAATCATCATGCAAACGTGATGGTTATTTTAATTTACATAACCTTCACAGTTGGCAGATAGACAATCCTCTCGAAATGAGAGAAGATCGTTGGCAGTACCGGTACAAAATAAATTTTTGGTGCGGTATTTTTAATTGTCAGATATTGGGACCTGTGGAACTGCCGCCAACGCTCAACTCTCACAGTTATTTAGAGTTCCTTCAGGAACGGCTTCCAACTCTTTTGGAAGATGTACCCTTAAACCTGCGGCGAAGACTATGGCTGCAAAATGACGGGTGCCCTGCTCACTACGGGCGTGAAGTAAGAGCTCATTTAGACGAAACTTATCCTCGCCGATGGATTGGACGATACGGGCCAATCACGTGGCCCGCTCGATCGCCAGACCTGAATCCATTCGATTTTTTCTACCGGGGCTGTCTTAAGGACAAAATTTATTCAAAAACAATTCAAAACGAAGAGCATTTGCGGGAACAAATAAATGGAGCTGCTGCTGAGATAGCCTAATTGAGTTTAAGATCTCTAAAAGCGTCTTTTCTTAAAAGGTGCCGAGCTTGTATTAGAGTAGAAGGTCGCCAATTTGAGCATATTTTATCAATAAATGAATAAATTTTTCTTCAAAAAACTCATGTATATCTTACTTCACGTGAACCCATCCTTCACACAAAATATTGATAGATGTAGCCCTTGTTATAGACTCTAGTCCGAATTCCGGTAAGTAACATAAAGTAATGTCAGGAGCAAGTAATAATGTACCTTTGTACTATTTAGCATGTCATTGGTCAGTAATAAGAGCAACTTAAATTTAAATCTATTAAATGCATTCTAGCGTGTTTCAGTCCTTTACCCACAAAAGCGGCTATAACTTTTTTTTCTATTCAAAACAGTTAGTGTGGAACCTTTCTGAAATCTTTATTAAATAAGCAATTTTTTTATGTAATGTAAAGATAAAGCTCAGTACATTTTTTTTCACCCGAGATAGTCAAAGTTGGGGAAGAAAATATCAAAAAGTTAAAAATCCAGAAATAGTCCTAATTTTATGATGGTTCCTTAATATAGTTTAACTACATTGCATTTGAGTATGGAGAGGCAACTATCTGGAAGTATTTTACATAAAAAATTTACTATGTATTGCCCGGTTTGCAGTTGCAGTTAAAGAAAACACATGAAAAGGCACGATTTTTTTAAATTCGGAAAAATGTAAATATTTCAATAACGGTAACACTTTTACCTGAAAATTTTTTGTTTATCAGGGAGCTCACCCCCCCACCTACCTTCCCCTAAAGTTTGGCACGTTACTTTTGGGACACCCTGTATAACGAAAATTTTTGATAAAAAACCGCGTGATTTTATATAAATCAATTTTTTTTTTTATAAAAATCAATACTTCAATAAATAATAAAAATTTTTAATAAAAAATCGCACGGCCTAAACCGCAACCGCCCCTGTGAGATAACCATTCTAGTAGCGTTGGATCTGTCACAGGAGTTTGATACCGTCAACCACTCCACGCTGCTAGAAAATATAGAGGCCTCCTCTCTCCCACAGAGGCTCAAACGATGGTCTACGAATTATCTGAGTAATCAACACTTGTCAGTAATGTTTAGAGACAAATCGAACAAACATAGAAAAATAAAGCAGGGGGTTCCACAGGGTGGTGTCCTTTCCCCATTACTGTTTAACTATTATATTTCCAAGCTTTTTCAACCACCAGTGGAAGCCTCCTTACGCTGACGATTGTTCGATAATGGCGTATGGGAATGGTATTGATGAATAGTGTTCGAAAGTAAACGGGTATCTCTCGGAGCTTTCTCGCTTCTTCACTGCTAGGAGCCCCCTACAAAATCCTCCGCGACCTTGTTTACCACCTGGACGAAGGAGGTCAACCAACCGCTGGGTATTCACGTTGATGGCACACCAATTCCAACGGTGAATAACCCCAAATACTCGGAGAAACTTTCGACAGTCTGCTCTCCTTCTCTGCGCACGCAACCGTAATTGTCAACAACGTACAGAGCCGCAACAAGGTTCTCAAGTCGCTAGCCGGCAGTACTTGGGAGAAAGAAAGGGGAACGTTGCTGGCAACATACAAGGCAATTGAATTGAATTACGCAGCACCAGTGTGGTCACCGGAGACTAGTAGGACGCAGTGGATGAAGCTGCAGACGACCCAAAATACTGCACTTCGGACAGCACACTTAATGTCTTCTGATGTCGCCAGAACACCACCTGCATAATGAGGCGAAAAGGCTCGCCATAAAGGAGCACAACACAATGATCTGCAAGCGATTCCTAGTAGGGAGCCATAGACGTGGACACCCGAACAGACACTTGCTTGCAGAGGAGCCTCGCCAAAGCACTTCAGGAGGCACCTATATGAACTGGCGGACGAATTCCAGAGGTTTATAAACCAACCCCTGAACCCGTCAGCTTACCGACAGGCCTTGAACGGCATTCACAGGGAGTCAGTCTTGAGTTATGTAGACTCCAGACATGTAATGCCGTTCTAGGCATACAACCACCTGACGTCGATGAGACGGAGCTTCGTCTGCCGCGGGAGACTAGAAACACAATAGCCCAACTTCGCTCTGCAGGAGGTTAAACTCATACCTTAGCAGATTAGATGCAGATATGCCAAATGAGTGTCCAGCATGCGGGAGACACCCCACGACTCGAAACATCTCTTCGTATGCGCGGAAAACCCCACACAACTAACGCATTTGTACCTGTGGACAGACCCCATTGAGGTTGGACCGTTATTGATACTTCTGTTAGTTGAGATTGACGACAACGACTGAGATACTAACCGATTCCTTATAGTTTCTTTGAAATCTTGAATGGTTCTGTTTTGGAAAGCCAGTCGGGAAAATATTCCTTGAGTTTGGTCCAAATTTGAACAAAATAAAAATTAGGCCGTGTAGAGAAGCCTTTTCCGATCTTGAAAGTGGAAACCACAGAGCGCGGAGTCTTCCATATAAAAAGTTTTACCTTTTAAAGTTTTACCAAGCAAATTTCATTTAGAGGACTCCCTTAAACTCTTAGAGCCGCTTACTCGATGTCCGTTTAGCTCTAATCTGCGGTTAAACATCGTTATCGACGTCTTCGACTCCATACATACAACAGGGAGTCGATAACGTCGATAACTATGTTTAACCGGAGATTAGTGTTAACCAGACATTGAGTAACCGGCCCTTAAAGTCTTAAACCGTGTAAAACTCGTAAGCTTACGAGGCTTTTATGGGAACGCCCCCTTTGTGGAAAGGTGCGTAAAGTGACTGTTTGACAAGTCAACCAGGATTTTACGAAGCAATTTTTGTTTCGTAGTATTTCCAATAACA